CTTGGACTATCCATTTCTACAAAGTCTTATACTCGAGACCACAATCTGAGGATTATTAAATCGACGATTTCATTATTCGTCTTTGACCCATAAGCAGTTCAATGAATTCCATCTTTCGCAAAATAAAAGACATTAATTCAGCTCCCATCATTTGATATTTCAGTCTCTCGTGCTTTATCCTTCACAGGAGGACATTCCTTAAGCAATGTTACTTTGAACACATTAAAATTATGTTTCTGCATCGACTTCCTTTAAAAAGAATTTGTGAATATATTTGTAGCTAATCAGCAAAGAGGCGCAAGAATATCTGTTCTGTTACGGCACAACTTCTGTCTTGCCTTACAGCCTCTTTTTGGCCGACGCTGTTAAAGGGAAAAGATCGCTACGCAATGCTCCTGATACAAGTCTCATTCCTGTGTGTATGATAAAATATATTTTTTATATCAATGCTGTTTCATTAAATTATGGAGTCAGATCAACCAATATACCACCTTCAATAGCAACCATCCCTCAATGGTGACTTTAGGACGAAAAATCCTGTAACTTTTGGTTTTGATTCTTTTCGCTGTCGCGTGTTCCACCTGAAAGATGGCCGAAACGGAAACTTTTGCTGTGGTGATTCCACCTTTTATTCATGTGTCACATGTTGGAATCTACTTTTGAACTAGCTGCTCCCAAACCGATAACGGAGCAAAAAAAAAAAAAAAAAAAAAAAATCCAACTACGTCGTAGCTCACTTACCAGCTAGCAACCATCCCTCTTATTCATACCATATCAGCATCTGGCCACGTAACGCCAATACAATTATCGCGAATTTCGACACTTATCATATCGTATACAACAAATATGATCCTCTTCCGAAAAATTCAGCGCCAAGCTTCCTCCACCAAAACTGTCTGTTGGTTTCCCCGATGCTTGTATGCAATCTGTAGCAGCTCCAGTCCCTTGCAAAGGATACATAATAATGGCAACTGAGCCGGATCTAATCTTAAATTAGAATACTACCAGTTCTATATATTACTGTTGCCTAATATTCTAAAATGCTGCATATTTTCCCGCTTAAATAAAATATAAGGTTAGAGTTAAATTGGCTTAAAATACTAGTCTAAGTTTTAAACCTGGAAAAGAATTTTAATCTCGGCTTTACTATAGTATCAAAATACTAAATAAACACAGCCTAAAATGAAAGCACTAAAACTATTATAAACTTATTACAGAACTAAATAAAAAATAACTATCTGACTTCTTCTTCGCTTTGGAATAAATAGCAGACACCACTAAGTTTCAGTTATATACAATTCACATGTTAAATTATCTCATAACTTAACTCGGTCAATTTCACGATCTATACTTAACAGTCAAGAGCAAAGATGAAACATACCAATTTTTAGGATAGTTTTCTCACATCGAAAACGAACAGAGATATGTTTTAGGACTGGCTTGCTTTGTCAATTCTCATTCCCTTAAGCTAGGTTCTTACACCTACTTTTAAACTGTTCCTATTTATATATTTTGGAGGACAAATGACACAGTAGAGTTTAGAATAAACACCATGTGTCCATTAAACTGACATTCAGAGGACAGAAGACAGACATTGACCGGTGAATAATTTTGGCGAATGTTAACAATATATAATTTAATATAGTTCGATATTAGATGACGTTCGAAGTTCAGATATTATACATAATTATGAAAACTTCACAAGGCAATAATTTTGTCAAAGAGCAATAATGGGAGTATTTTAATAAAGTGTCCGTGAAACTGTACAAAATAGTGATAATTTTATTTCCCATCATTTAAATTCTTGGCATTTTTAGTTACTTAATTAGCAAGGTTGCGTTCAATTTTACGTGCTCAACACAAATGGCACGCATTTTATAGAAATTATTAGTATGATTTCAACAATAAAAATATTAACAGAATTCCTGAAGAGACCGTTACAACCGCCGCATTCTTCTCTACTCAGTCACTAATAATATAGCCACACATAAAGCATTTCAGCAATTCACTGAGTGTTTTGGAATAATGCATAAATAAACGTTAAGTAGTAGAGGAGATATAGAGAAAAGAATCCACAAATACTAAAAACAGCATAAAGTTTTATAAATCAATCCTGCAGGAAAGTTATGAACAGAGTATTATGCACAGAATTGGTAAAAATACTTACTGGCCATTATTTTTCAAAATATTCATTTTTGAGTATTTTAAATTTTAAAAAAGTAACTTTTAAAACGAAATTGCGAAATCTAACAATTTATATTATTCTCCGGTTCCTAGATAATTTATATTCTCATTATAAAAAATAAAAAGCAGTATTTATACAAAAATTACGAAAATTGTTTAATTTCAAAATTTTGGATTTTTAACTTCATTTTCATCTTTTTTGAAGGACTGATTGAAAAATAAATTAGACTAGTTAGAGATTGATGTTTCGCCCTTAAATATATGGTTGTAACGAACGTTTCCTCCAAAAAAAAAAAAAAAAAAAAAAAAAAAACGTTCTTATAAAGTTAGAAAAAAATGAAAGCAGTAATTCTATTGCGGATAGTAACCACTACCCAAATCTATGATTTTCTGCCAATGTTTAGGTGGTTTTTCAAAGCCTTCGGCCTAGAAACTTGGTGGCTGGGAGTCCAGAAATAGATCTAAACTTCATTTCATACGTCCTGTGCATAATGGAAGATAGCACCAGCAAGATGCAGCTGCAGGTGTGAAAAAAGGTAGAAGTTCGAAGTAGAAATGTCGAAGCTATATGTAGGGTGTGGCAAAAGATCCCATTCGTACAGAGTTCAGAGTAGAGAGTAAGTTCGTACAGAGTCCAGCCGGTGAATGCAGATACATATGGTCTTGAATTATCTTGATGGAACATTACATTTTGCCGACGAAACTCAGTTCGACGTTTTTCCTTGATGGCAGAGTCAACACGGACTAGCATCTCGTTGTATACCTTACTGTAGAGGATTTTACCTTTTTCCACATACTCTTTGTGGATAATACCACGGCAGTCTCCCAAGATGCAATGATCTTTTTGTTAGTCAAATTCAGCTTTGGGACGCTGCCCGCGGACGCAGATCAACCCTCTTTTTCGGCCTGCGTTGTTGACGTAAATCCATTTTTTTATCACAAGTGACGATCCAGTTCAGAATTTTGTCCTTCCGTTGATATTCAAGCAGATTAGTGCGGAATCGAACACGTCAGTCTTTATCCGCTTGAGTCAGCTCATACGGTGCCCAGAAATTGAATTTGTAAGTCAAGTAACTCCGATGCACAGAGTGACTAATGGACATGGCACTAACATCTAACTCGTTAGGAAACTCAAATGCCAAAAAGCGTTTGACAAAATATTATCAAACACGCCAAAGCAAATTGTTTGCGCAGACTATATTTGCGTTGGCGGGAAACCTTCTTTAAAACTCCATATTATCCGACGATATCCTTTTGAGCTTTATTAGTGTATAACAATCTTGAGTTTATAATTTTATTACAAGTGGTATGGGGAAAGAATTTTAGCAGAAGAAATTCCAATGTTTCCAGTATCTAAAACCTTTTATAATTATTCTGAAGAAGTTTTATGATTTTAGAATGATAATCTAACAATTATGTAAAGAAACTTTATTTAACTAGAAGTGTCTTTTATTTTTAATTAATACAAATAAAGCTATGCGTTGGCTGTGTGGCAACACTGAAGCTTTCCTCCATTTTCTTGCTTGACTTCTTTCATTTATTTCTGGACTTATACAAGATACTGACAATAAAATTTCTTTCTTGAAAAAACGTACATTAATCAATACGTTTCACAGCGCTCTGTACAGATAGGCTCGTCACGTAATCTTTTTAACATAAGAAACCTTTCCTTAAATTGACATTGTATATTTAGTTACATACCAATGCAAAGAATTCACGCAATAACCATAAATAACCAATTTCAAAATTAAATATTTCTGTCGATTGTTGTCCTACCGGGTTCAAACGCTTTGAGATTTATTTTTTACTAACAGAAGTACCCGATGTCAGTTCTGTTAGATTGAGAGTAATGTATCTATCTAATAACAGACAGAATAATACAGCTATAATCCTTCTCCAATTATTGATTTTTGATGTAACTAAATCAGATGACGGTCTTTTTTCTGTTATGAGGTATTTTTATTAACCCATTAACTGCCAAATTTTTATTTCATCAATTTTATTTTATTTCTGTTAGTTTACATCTAAATAATAAGAAAAACAGGTTTTTTCATAAATGCGTCATTTTTTTTTCAGAAATTTTAAATTTAAGTCCGATCCCCAAATGGGGATCATGGCTGATACTATCTACTTTTAATGCCAGCGTTCAAAACAGTCTACGTGTAATACAACATTACATTTCCCACATTGTTTTCTTGCATTTGTTTTGCACACTGCACATTTTCTTTGTTTACCATTTTCGGTCCGTTCAATATAATGATTACTAGATGTTCTGATAACAGTAGGAACACGATTAATTGATGCTTCAGTGAAAGAATTCCTTCCACCCTTTTCTGCATCTGAGAGTTCTGAACATAAAGCAAGATATCCTCTAGCAATCATCCTCCTAAAATCCAGCAATGGAATTTTATCATTTGAAATACAATACAGTGCGTGAGCGTTAACCAGTGTTACGTCGATGGTATTAGTAAGCAAAGGAAAATACCATTATCCCCCTTATTCTGATTCTGTATTTTTGAACATTCCAGTTCATCTTGTCTACTCCATCCATGTATTTGTTATATTCTGATATCAGTTTGGGTTGTGGTACTTCAATATCTTTCTTCTCTGTACTACTACATCGCTTCATCTCTCATAGATATTGGTTGAGTAGTGCTTCACCTCTGATATCGTAGTTTCATGATTAGACAGGAGCCTTACACAACTGTTGTCATTCCACGTGACAGCTAAAATTTCATTACGGGAATCAAATCTGTAGTCATATGCCCCGCGTTCTTTTTTCCTTATCTCTTTGTCTGTTGCAATAGGGCATTTGTTCATTCTGTGTTGAATCGAACAGTTCCTGTTGCTCTAACTTCAATGTCCTGCAAATGTTTCATCAGAGAAAATCCTGTGAAAAAATTGTCGAAGTAAACTTTATGAGCATTTGGTGTCTGAAGAATATATACCATCTGAAGGACAACAGATGTCCCAAGCCCACTGATGCTTTCATCATCTCCTAATTTCTTAGATTTGCCTTCATACACTTGAGTCTGATAACAACAGATAGCCCATTGTTTGAACCCAAACCGCACTGTTTTACCACGTATAAATTGTTTGAGGTAGTGATGTCCATAGTAACGAACCATTTGTTCGTCAATGCTCAAACTTTCAGAAAACACCCCAAATTGTTGAAATTTGTCATTCAGCTTGTCAATCAATGGGCGAATCTTGAAGAGGCTATCACGTTCACCTAGTGAAATCCTTTCTAAATCGGAGTTGCCACTGATATGTAGGTACCGTTTAATTTCCAGATACCTATTCCGACTCATGCATGATCTAACACACAAAATGTTCATGTCTTCATCTTCGCACCAATATAATTGTTCTTGCGGAAGTGAATGATAGCCAGTGAAAAGAAGTATTCCAATAATTTTTTTATGCAGTTATTAGAAAGCTGAAACTGATGATTGTTTTTGTGCCTGGCGTATATTACAGACTGCTGGACAATATAGGTGACAGTTTCATTATCAAAAAGTATTTCGAAACATTCTACCGGGGATTTTCCCCTGAGTTTTCTAATGATATCATTTCGCCTTGTCTCTATAACGTCAGAATTTTCGTATAGTTTCGAGTACTTAGGTTGCTTCTTTTTCCAGTTGGAAGTCAATACTTCTTTTCTCTTTTTTTTAGCAGGTGGTAAGCCGGTATCTTTTGTTGCTTCATTTGCTGAAGATTTAGTTGCATTGACTAAAACATTTTTCTCAAATCCTGCCACACGGTGAATTTCAACACACCCGGGATTATCAAGTGGTTCTTCATCATCAATTACATTGTCATCCATGTCCTCTTTATCTAAATCTCATTAACCCGCTCTGGTGGAATTTCAACAATATCTATGGGGCTATTATCGTCGTCATCGTCAGATACAAAAAAAATCATCAGAATTTACAATTTCTTGTATTTCTTTTAAAGAAAGATATCTTTTACGCGGCATTTCCTGGGAAAAAAAAAGAAAAACAGTTTTTTTTTTTTTCAATTTTAGTCAGTATCAGCCATGATCCCCAAATGGGGATCGATATATCTAGGTTCATTGTACCCATCCATATTACAGTATGAGGATAAATAATATATAAATACATTAATTACTTACCAATGATCAGGGGAAATTCAGTACAACAAAAGTAATTGTTCCTCAGTAAATTTTTTGTGCTTTGAAAATAACCGTATTATTTTTCTCGTGAAAAGTAATGAGAGAGCAAGAAAAATAAACTCGCGAGCTCAACTAACTGAGTCCACGTGTTGGTTTAAGATTTCTACCTTTAGTTGCAATCTTCAGGAAAGCATGACCACCTGTAAGGGACCACCCAGGTGCAGCATGACGTCACGATGTATACAAATGTAGGCGATCATGACAGGGAATGGGTTAAAAGGAGACGATTCACGTAAATGCAGTTTTATTGTAAAGCTGTGCGATATACAATATTTCAAATTTTAACACCAGTAGCGAAAATATACAACTACTTACTTCCCAGGTTTTGCTCTTGAAGATGTTACATACAACTGACCATGTGAAAAGCAATGAATTTCCCAGATGAATACCAGCAATTTCAAGCGATTGACCTTGAGCTTTCTTGATAGACATTGCAAACGCAAGATTCACTAGAAACTAAAGACACTTGAATCCAAACAGCAGATCATAAAGAATTATAGGAATTCGTGGTATGAATACATCTTCCAATTTTGCACAGTTTTACTCATGACGTCATTTGAAAATTCGTATAATAACATATTACACGTCATAAGGAATATGATGCGGCATTGTCTTGCCAAAGAAAAAAAGTAATATTTAACTGATTGATTACATAATTATGGAATCATAATGGTATTCATATCGATATCACATATGCAATTGCCATTAGGGTCAGCAAAAATAAAAACAAATACTTAAAAATACAAAACTTATTATTTTGAGTAAAATATGCGATTCATAGTCATACATTTTTCAGCCTGATGCGATTTGGTAACCATATAAAAATTCCGATAGAAAAATAAACTAATTCTCTCTTATTGTATCAGCAACGACGGCACGCAGTCATTGTTGCTGATATATCACTGTTGCCATTGTTGCTGATATTAACTTATTCTCTGCTCGGAAAAATAAGGTTAAGCGTTTTAATAGTTTTTATTAATATCTCTGATTTTAGCTATTATTTTTTTTTATGAAAACGGTGGACGCCGACCTTTTCCAAGATCCAGAAAAGAACTGTAGAAAGTTTGGTAACGACAGCTGTAATATTGACTGAGTTATTAGCGAACAAACAAACACAAGAGACTTTCTTCTTTACATATATAGATAATGAGCATATATTTATATATAATTCATAAAAATGAATGATTATCCGAGGTAGTGTAATATGCTTGTGAAAAGGATAATTGTAGCTAGTAAAATGATTTAGAAAATAAAAGAGAAATTTAAATTAAGCAAAATAAACTAAATGAATTTTTCAAAAAAAAAAAATTATATTAAGAATCAAAAAACAATTAAACAAGCTTTCCATCACATTTTATGACAAATTGTATTTTAAATATTTATACTTTTATAATTTAACCTCATCAAGGGTTAATTGTCTCAAAATTAAACTCAAATAATTAAAGCGTTCTGAAAATGCGTTCTGTACTTCTTGACTATATCAGATAATTATTACTTGATAAATCTATATCAAACATTAAATTATTAATAATTAAAATGTAATTTTGTCATTAAATATATTATGGAAAAGTTTTTAATTGTTTTCGTTTATAGATTTTTTAATATAAATAATATATATATATATATATATATAAAGTAGGGCATTTATTATATACACACACTATAAATATATAGTATTTTAGCTTTGGTATTATATGTTTAAGACCAATATTTGCGACGCTAGGCACATGAGCATGCAAAGCCATTAGGTTAATTGGAAGCAGAAAAGATGAAAAATGTGCAATCGCCTTCGCCGGGAATCGAACCACGGACCTCTGGAATACCGGTCCAGCGTGCTACCGTTACCCCACGAAGGTACGCTATGGAAGTGGAAGAAATAGCTTATAAGCATAATAAAATAAATTATCAGATTAGCAGCTTTGCTATATTATTTGAAAGCTGCAGTCATTTGACTGCAATTTATCATCATTTCCATCTGTCATCCATTTCTTAATTTAATATTGCTACAACCAGCACTTTGTAAAAACATTTAAGTACACTTATTGAAGATTCCAATTACAATTTAAAATAATTAGCACTCGCAAATCAGAGAAAATTAAAGAAAGTATTTTCGGGTGAAAACTGTAAATGAAAGGATTCTCATTTCCGTTTTAATTTGACAATTACGTGATTTATTCTGTCTTTGAAAAGATCAATATTTAAACTCTTGGTTATATATTTGAGTGAAACGAAATTAAATTTTATCTCCTTTGCAAGAGCACATTTTAGTTCTAAATGCGGAAAACAGGTTCTAATCAAGTCACTGAGAATCTAAATTTAAACTTTTAACTGTTTAGTTCTTTTACTATTGGTTTATTGACGCATATTTTTATTAAAACGCAATTACTACGTTAGTTGGTTTTAAAATAACTGAGTATGAACCTGCTAAATTAGGGAAAAAAATCTGAAAGTTTTAGATTTTAAATTACGTCCAAAGGTGCGTTTTTTTTAGCATTTTGTGTGTTACCTTTATTTATTAAATATCAGGTTCTTTGCACTTATACCATGAAGCATCTATGTACCGTTGTTTTATCACAATTGCGAGAAATAGACATTAATTTACAGATTTTTCATTATTTAATTTCTTCAAATATAATGCAAAACTAACATTTGGTGGCAACAGTTTGAAAAGTGAAACGGACATTTATAGTGATTCAACGCAAAATCGCAAAACGAAAACAATAGTCCTTCAGGGACGAAGCCCTTTTGGACTAAAAAAAAAGCAAAAAAAACATAGAAACCTTAGTTTTAGAGAAAATTCTACCTTTTCTATTTTATTCTAAATATGTACCAGTACGCGTAGGTACAATGAAGGTTGAAAAAAATGAACCTACAGACATCGAAATACCAGTTCTTAGATATAAAACAAATCTATTATTTGCCTGATGTATTACTACACTTTTACACCACGAACAAAGCAATGTATTTCTGATTAAGAAAAGCTTAAATAAACTGCTTCAAATTAATATCAGGCGTCGGCAATCTATGGCACGCATGCCAGATTTTGTACGCAGTAGAGTTCTCAGTAGCACTCTACACAACTCTACAAACTTATTACGTAATAATATATCGCCTTGTCACTCCTCTCCACACAGACATATTACATGTTTTGCCAAACAACTGAAAGCAAACTTAAAGCGAGGAATGTAGTTTCGTAATTGTTTACTGCGCAGTTGCCAAAGACAAAGCTTTCACAGATGGCAAATATAAAATATATTTTTAAAAAGTGTTGAAATATTGTTCAGCGATTTAACAAATCCACAAAATTATTGCCTCGAATTCAAGAAATATAGGCGTCTGCGCAAACTATTGAAAGACGGATCGAATAACTGAAATAGCAGAAAATGTAACAGCAAAGCAAAATTCTGGATTACAAGAAACTGTTGCATTCAGTGATGTTCTTGATGAGAATACTGAAGTGAATGATGTTGCGTGCCTTGTTTTTTTTATTATGTTGTTTATTTTTACTTCCTTGTACGAAGTGAAAAGGAAGTATTGTAATCGCGAAAAGTTTCAGGCAGCATATTTCAACGAAAATATCCATTTTGACAGCTATCGAATGCAATTTAACGATGTGCGTGATATCTGCACTTAAGGACAGAATAAAAGACTATTTTCCTTCAAAAAAATTATAAAACTGCTTTAAAATGAATTCTGAAGAGAATTTTCATGGCGTCTGTACGAACGTATGTACGTACGTGCGTACGTACGTATCTCGCATAACTCAAAAACGAGTAGCATCAAAACGTTGCAATTTTGTATATAGGACTGCTATAACATGTAGATGGGCACCTCGTATTTTGGTTGCAATCGGCCGCGCCAAACGTATATAAATATATTTATATATATATCCACTCTATTACCCGGCTCAGTGATCTCAGTTTCTTTACTCTTATATGTTTGTAAATTGTACATTTTTTGCTTTAAAAATGATTGAACTATATTGTTTTTATCTTCCGGTTAAGGTTTTTATGCCTTTAGTAAATCTCTATGCAATATTTTTGGAATTATCAACAATTTAAAAGTTGTTTAAGTGCCGCTAAGCCTAATCCTTTTCTTGATGGCGGCCATTGTTTGTTT